ATGATGTCCCGGACCAGAGGGTTAAGGGTTTTCCGAAATCCGCCGAGGGGATTCTGCGTTATAGAATTTTTAGTAAAGTTAGATGTTTTTTTTGGCATTTCGCCTCGCTGCTAACCGAGCAGCGCGGCATAGTGCCGTCTGTCTTGTTCTCTCTCTCTCTTTCGCTCGCGCTCACTCGTTGAGGGTCCGATTCCGGGAAATTATCGATTTCCCGGGCGCAAATAATATTTCGGTTATTCCTCGGATTATCGCCAATCGATAATCCTTGAGGCCGCATTCCGATGAGATTATTGGATACAAGTGTGGGATATTCAAGGATATATTCGGTATTTGTTAAATAAATTATGTTCGCGGAGGCTTAGGGAGACCGTTGAAGTTATATTTAGATTTTTGTTAGCAAATACCTTTTTCGAGATCCTGTAAGAGGAGAATTAAATTTAGATTTGGGGATTTTTAGCTGGCACGTGGTATTTGGAGAAAGTTGAGGACGCTAATAAAATTTCGAAAGTTGCAAATACCAATAGGGGTTGATATAATTGATGATTACTCTTGTACTGAATTTTGACGTTAATAGCGGAACACGTAAGGACAATGTTTTTGTTGTATTAATTTATTTCTCGCCTCCTCTTTCCTTTTTTTTTTTGGTACTTTTTTCGATTTTTCGCGATAACCTTGTCCTCATCTACGATCCACCCCTCTCTCCACAACTGGCATACTGAGCGACCCTAGTACCGTCACCTTTCCCCAAAAGCCTAATTATCCTTTCCGTTCCCTTTTGGATTGCCTTTTTGGATTTTAGAGAGAAATTTTGAGTTGAGATTTTAGGATTTCGAGGTACGATTTTCGATCAAACGAATATCGAGATTAGTTAAGTTTAGGATTGAGGACTTTTTCCGGTTTGGTAATTCCGGTCAAAAATTACCTGGCGCCCATAAGGTTAAATTTTAGCAGGTTTTGTTAGGCTCAGGGGAAGTAGGGCGAAGGTAATGGGCATTTCTCATTCCCCGAAAAATGTCACGTTACGGTTATTAGTATTGCCAATTCACTTCTAGTGTTATTTTTTATAAGATTCAGCAAGGGTCTGGACACCAAGGCCAGATCAGCCCTAATATTAGAATTATCAGAACCTCTTCGTTCGAATAGCGCGAAGCAAGCGGGCCCCCTACGCCATAGAGAACCGCGATGCTCACATATGGAGGCAAGCATCCCCATGACGATTACCTTTTCATCCATGCACTCCACGACTGAAAATGAGCAGTCTGCTGTCGCTCTTATTGACGGATATTATTCCCTGCCTAGGCCACCTCGCGCGTACGGGCCACTCCCATCATTTCCAATACCAACCACCAGCCGCGAAGAACCCGAGGATACGTATACCTCGGAAGACGGGGAGGCAATATACGGGACGATGAAAAGCCTCAGTCCAACTTAACTTGTTTCTCTCTAAAATTTCTGTTTTTTTGTTGTCTGATATAGCCAGAGAACGGCCCTATGATAATCACACGTATTGTAATTGGAGAAACACGAGCAGCTATTCATTCTGCATGAGTAAATTTTAGTGATCTAAGATATATTCCTCACATACGAGTGTTTTAGTATTTCAAGGAAATAGATATAGTTATAAACAAAAAGGGATAGTATATATATATATATACCTATATATAGCCTATAAATACTAGTTATATCTATCTATATATATATATATATTTATCTAAAGGTTATTTCGGGGACAGAAAACGGAAACCCTTTCAAATGAGTTCAAATGGTTGACAAACACCTAATATACTAAACAAAATTAATATCCGAGCTGAAACTGCATTGTTTGTTCGAGTTCGTCCATATTTTTCATGTATTGTAGGATATGGGAACCATCATATAATGTATTATATGGGGTCATAGCTTTTTCATCCATAGTTTAGCTACTATGGGGACAGCTATAATTTGAGTTTGCATGTAAAGCATTTTTTGAGGACATTTGGATAGTTTTGATTTTGAAGACTCTAAAGTGGGCACCAGCATATAAATTTTCTATTAACCGATCGTCCTCAATGGTCATCCCCATTTGTACGAATTTTCGAAAACATCACTTCGATTTTTCTTCTCAATCGAGCATTGAGAAGTCATAAACCTATTATTTCTCAGTTCTAAGACAATGCGAAATTGCAGTTATTGATGGGCTTTAATTGAATAACAATAGTACTTTCCTATCTTGTCGTTATGCATTTTTTCGTTGGATTCAAGTATTCTAAATGATCTTCAGTCAAGCTCAAAATTTGTAAAATCATTCATGCAAACGATTTGGAGGGTTTCATTGATCGTTCCTCGTTCAAAACGAGGGTTCGTATACCGCGATTTCCGTGAATGATCGCCGTACTCATTTGTGTACTCACGAGAATTCGCACTGACAATTATCGCATTAATCGGCTTCGAATGATGACGATCTTACGTGAAGGTTTCATAATATACATTACACTCATGCTTTCATGTCCTCATAGTGACCGATCCGTGAAATTTGAATATCCTCATATTTTCCATGTGTCCCCATAATGACCATACGTTAGAATTGAAATGTCACTATATGTTCCATATGTCCCCATATCATACAATTAGTAGAATATCGAAGTTTTCTAGGAATTAGTTTCTATCACATTAATCAAATAAGTCTGCTTCTATCAACGGATTCTTCCATTTCGCTGGAATAACCGTAATTTTCAGTCAAGTCGGGATTGACTTCAAGTATTCTTATAAAATTTACTATAATCATCTAATGTCATAGTTCCAGGTGGATACGTAAAAAGCTATCTTTCCTATGGATTCATTCACCGCGTCAAATACAGTTTCCTACCTTTTGGAAGTTAGTTTAAAATTTTGTTCAGATGACCTCATAATATACTTTACATCCATAGCTTTGCGTCCTCATAATGAACAATCTATAAACCTGAAATGTCCGCCTATTTTCGATATGTCTCCATAATGAACATACGTTAGAATTGAAGTGTCCCTATATGTTCCATATGTCCCCATATCATACAATTAGTAGAATATCGATGTTTTCTATAAATTAGGTTCTATCAGATTAATCAAATAACTCTGTTTCTATCAACGAAATCTTCCATTTCGTTGGAATAACCGTAATTTTCAGTAAAATCACGATTGACTACGAGTATTCTTATAAAATTTGCTATACTCATCTAATGTCATGGTTTCGGATGGATACCTAAAAAACTATCTTTCCTATGGATTCATCCATCGCGTCAAATACAATTTCCTACGTTTTGGAAGTTAATTTAAAATTTCGTTCGAGATGACCTTATAATATACTTTACGTCCATAGCTTTGCGTCCTCATAATGAACAATCTATAGAATTGAAATGTCCTCATATTTTGGATGTGTCCCCATAATGAACATACGTTAGAATTGTAATGTCCCTATGTTCCATATATGTTCCATATGTTCCCATATCATACAATTAGTAAAATACCGAAGTTTTCTATAAATTTGTTTCTATCACATTAGGCGAATAAATCTGTTTCTATCGAGGAAATCTTCCATTTCGCTGGAAAAAACGTAATTTTCAGTAAAGTCGGGATTGAATTGAAATATTCTTTCAAAATTTGGTATAATCATTTACTGTCATGGTTTCGGATTGATCAGCAGAAAATTATCTTATGTATGGAATCATTGACCATGCCAATTACGATACACTAACTTTTGAACGCTATTTGAAAATTTTTTTCGAGAAGACCTCATAATATTCTTTACATCCATAGTTTTGCGTCCTCATAATCTACCAACAGTAGACTTGAAATGTCCTCATATTTTGGATATGTCCCCATAGTGAACATACGTTAGAATTCAAATGTCCCTAT